GCCTGCAGCCGGGGGCATCCCTTTGAGCATCCCTTGAGGCGTCAGGACGTTTCGGTCCCACCTGGTACTGCCCGGTGAAACTGGTCAAAGTCGCCATGATCTGCGTCACCTGCGATGCGAAACATCGGTCAACTGCTCAACACACTTGCAGCTTGATGATCCCCTTACCCAAGGAGTGAGTTCACAGTTCACGCACATACTTTTAAATTAATTTAGTATCCAAGATCCGATCGACCATCGACAAGCCGCCAAGCCTGTCTCACCCGAATGGCAGTTTGGGCCTTGTTGTAGGGGTCCTGCACCAGGCATCACCAGGCCACATCTCACCATTACCAGATCATGGAGAACCAGTTCTAATATATGGAGTTAATAGACTTCTATGATGTTAGTAAAGCAATCATAAACCACCCCACCCATAAATCTATGAAAAATCTTAGGATGGTTTACATATGCTTTACCAACATCTTTTTATGTCATTTTTTTCCAGTTTTCCAATCCTTGGCCAAGTGGGTGGAGACCACCACCAGTGGCGCCACGTTGTTCCCCGCTGTCTTCCACTTCAACAAGACCTCACCGCTGCCGCGGTGCCGGTGCCTGTTATGAATTGAACAAATCCCTTCCCAAGATATCCAAGATCCAAGATATACAAATACCAAAGATTACCAAAGCAATTCCTGGTTGAGTAGAATTTGTAAATTCACAAATTGGGGGACCATGAGGGGTATTACTACCCTACGGATCCCTACGACAGGAGACATCTCCAACCATGGCACCATGAGGCAGCTTCTGTCTCTTTTCTCGCGTCCTTTATCCTGGCAACGGAACATTTAAGCTCGATGGAACCAGGGAGTCTGGATTGGTGTCGTCAAACGAATATGGCATATGGGAAAACCACTAAGATCCCATGGTTGGTGATTCTCCCACTGACGGAGGACAGGGACAAAACATGGGCAGCTCACATCATTGCCGTCGATCATGTCGAATCCCTGCCGGCCAAACAGCGAAGCAGCTAAAACTCAGATCATGAAATTCATCGAAATTCATCATGAATCTCTGAATCTCCTTGAATTTTTGTGTTTTTTGTGTTTTTTGTTTGGCTTTCTCAACTTGGCTCTTGCCTCACTGGCCACCAGCTCGAACTTACTACGCCGCCAGAAGATCCCGCAGCCGTCCGCGCTGTTGGCGCGCGGGCGCTTGCGGAACACTGAGTCCTGACGGGGCAGGATGGCCCTGGGATGGCCATGGGATTGCCATGGGGCTGGACACGAAATGTGGCAGCGTGGCAGAGAAACGAAATCCGGGTCCCACTCGCCCTCGAGGCTCTGCCCGAAAAAGGCATGATCATCCAACTCAACCTGAGACCAAAGTTGGCTCATGGAGATCACAAAGGCCCCATCCTGATCCCAAGGGTCACCAGCGACACGACGTCGGGGTCCAAGTCCACGATTTGGTTCACCAGTTTCTCTCTCCGCGACTCCCACCTGTCCCAGCTCAGCTTGTTTTGAAGGAATGGTAAGTCACGCGGCAGAGGGCCTAAAGAAGGCATCTTGCGTTTCCACCTCTTGGATTTGCTCCGGAGACAAGATGCCTGGCTCGTGAAATGTCTTAAAATATGTAAAATGTTGTGGGTCTTCGATCCAAAGCAACCAAAACCGTGCGCACTGCTTGGTGTGAGCTCGCCTTCAACATATTCCGGCCACTTGTGTTTGGGCCTCAAAGCAAGAAAACAACATGATATAAAATGATCCTAGAGAGTGTCTACCAATGAGCTACCAATGACCTTTCAGGATGTTTATCTGGTCTCCAAACATGTTGCTGCTGTGTGAAATTCCCTTGCGAACTTGCTGTGTCTGGCAGTTGAGTACTGCACGTACCATCTGGCCCCCGTTGATTGAAGAGCTTAAAAATCTTTTCCCGCGCCTGCCAAGCAGCCAACCTTGTGACTTCAGCATTTTGCCCTTGATCGAGAGTGAATGAGAATTTGTGGCACATTTCCTGTGGGCCGTCTACCCTGCCATGGTGATATATCCAAGAAGGTAAGCGTCTGTTCTATAGGGGGATGCAAGGTGGGTATACCCAAGATCAGCACCTTCACTCGCTGTTTCAGCTTAGCCAATCAACAAATAATATGAAAAAATCCCAGTAGCACACTTAATCTAAACATAATCCAAGAATAAGTCATATCCAATCATATCCAACATTTTTGTGCTCTTAACATGTTGAAACAACTTTACCAAATTGAGGTTAGGTCGGTTGGATCGGTTGGATCGGTTGGGTTGGTGTCGTGCTGGAGCGCTGGGAGCGCCTCTGGCTCAATCTCTGCCCCGTAGAGAAACCACGGCTGTGTGTTTTTGCCCAGGTACCTATCCAATCTGGGCACTGAAAATCCTCATAAACATGTGATACAATAGAAACATGAACATGTCAAAATATGTCAAATATGTAATTATAGAGGTACATACTCATCATTTCTTCATTGTATACACAATCACACACAAATATGTCTGTATCTATGCTGTCCAGTTTAACACACCATCCAAAAGCATTTTACTGCAGCATATGTGGTGTAATCCCCGTGGCTCACGAGGCCAAAATGTTGTACTGCATCACAGACACAGTGCGCCGCACGTCCTTCTGAACGCCTTCCAGGGCCTGTCGTCGAAAAAAAAACAAACAGGAAGAAACCAATAGTTTTTTTTCTAAAAAACATATATGTTTTCATCTTTTTTCATCTTTTTTCTTTTTTTTTCCATCCTTTTTCATCTTTTTTCATCTTTTTTGATCCCACGGTTGATCTGTCCATCCTTTCTTGACAAAACCTTGACCGACAAAAGCTGATACGGAAGCGGCCGGTGGCATTTTTCACCTTCTGGGCTCTTTGCAATTTCCATCATGGAACTAACTGTCAATTTTCGCAATGGGCTACAACATGCTAGAGCTATCCGTTTTCTAAGTCGAACACTTTTTGCTACATATTTCAAATTTCCGAAATATTTCCTGACATTCTTTGTGACACATGGGTTCCAGCCATGTCCAAACCATCCTGTACCCTCCAACCTTTGCCATCTGCTGCAGCTGTAGAGCCTAGGAAAAAAGATGGAAAAAGGCGGATTATGATGAAATGCTGTAATGACATCACACAAACCTTAGATTACTATATCTTTAACTCCATCCAGTAGCCAGCAACCTCATCTTTTTCGCTCTTTTTGCTCAAAATATCTGCACCCAAACATGACATACATCACCTTTGGGAAGCTGTTGGGATGTGTTTAGTGCCCATCTGCGGCCTGTTGCTGGATCAATTTCTCCAAAAACTCCACACGGTTCGAGAGGTCACCCTGACACAGAAAGGGACGTTCCGCTTCCACCCAGTGATGTTTCTCATGTTGCTAAGGCCGCCAGGCCTCTGTGGCAGCTGTGGTGACAGTCTTGCCCTCAGTTCCAAGATGTTCCAAAATGTTCTAACGTATTCTAATCCTCAGTTATGGATCAGTTATGAGCAGTTATTATCAACAAAATCAACATTTCTCAAAGATCTGCTTGGGTCCTCAGTGGCCGACGGACGGGACGGACGGCTTGCTGCCTGCAGCTTGACAAGTTCAAGGACAGGTCACAGCCCAGCAGTTCAACGCCAAGGCGCTACTGGAGTTGGAGGTGGGCGCATCATTCTCCTCAGGTTGTGGCAACAGCAGCAAGGCTTGGCTGAACATGGCGATGTTTCGAAGCATCTTATGGCCAGAAAATGGAGATGCCGCATGGACTCCAACGGTGTTTTTTCTCTCTGAATGTGGAGATGTAAAATTTGAGGCTCCCACCAAAACCTTGGAATTGGCAATGCTTCCCGCCCCAGCACCTTAGTTCAGAAATCAGCCTTCCAGGAACTCCTCGGTCCTGTCAGATCTGTCAGCTTTGAGCTTTAAACCCATTGGAACAGCCGCACCGCGGTGGATCCCCCAACTTCAGCTGAAAAATGGTCGGATTCACGACAAGCACGACAAGGACAAATCAAATTGTCTATGTTTTTTTTGCATCCCTTCACTGGTCAAGAGGGTCAATGTCATTTCGGCCTCTGATCTGTATCTCTGAAAGACGATGCGTAGCAAGACATTTGAAAGCTTCCTTTTTTCCCACTGCAAAGTACTTCGCGCAGACATGCGCAGACTGGGTAGGACTAGCTGACTCGGAGATGGCACCAGAATCTTTCATCGCAGCACGTGATATAGAATAGCTAGAGCCAAACATCACACCAAATCTCTCTTTTTAGTCATCTCATGTCATCTCAATATTTTCCTCATTGACCCCTTTGTCCTTTTTTGAACCAGGGATACGTTCATCCAGATTCGTCGCAAATCCCGCCGCAGGCATTCCTCACCAAGGCATCACCTTGAAAGGCTGGTCGGCGACGAGATGATGATATGACAATGATTTGTGCTGACATCTTCTGACAGTCAGAATTCGGACAGTCAGATTTTTTCCTGCAAACTTTGAAAGTCAAGCCAAACTGGCAACTCATTACGACGTTTATGGGGACGAAAATTACTTGTCCATCCCTTTGCCCGGCTATTGAGACTTCAAGCCGTGCTGGAACCTAAATCATCTTCATGTGTCGGCCACGGCAAGCCTGCTAGCAGCCTGAAAATGTTGGAGCCATTCGCGCAGCCATGCAGCACTTGGAATGGGACTGCAGCTAAGCTTGATATAAGCTTGACCAAGTTTAACTGGGAATGACAAATATGTGTGATCATGATAATCATGTGGCTGCCGCATGGTTGCGCAACATTCTCCAATGGCATGTGGTGGCAACAACTTGTGAAATCATGTGACTCCAGCCTCTTGAGGAAACAAAATGGCTGGAAGGAAAACCCCAAGGGAGGCCAAAGGTGTGTGGTGTCTAATGTCGAAACGTGTCTGAACAGCCCAGAGAAGACCAGCAACTTGTACATCGTCAACTGTCCATTGCGCAAACTCTTGCAAGACAGTCACCTCTACGCACTGTGGTTTTCGCATTGCGTTCATACACAGTTTTGTGCATTTTGATACCCATTCTGCGTGTGTGAAACATGGAAGGGTTGACAGGCCCAACATCAACATCAATCCAGAAGATCACACAATTGCGGAGCCGTTCAATGCCAATTTTCATTGTAGCTTCAGGCCTCCAGTGGCACAAGGGCGCGATTGACATCCGTGGCTAAAAGGGCTGCACCAACTGAACTGCTCCCATTGACACATCTCTGCAGCCAAGATTCTGCGTGCTCCAACATTTTTACAATCTCGTCGTGGCCTTTCCTTCTTGCATCGTCCAACGGAGTGTTGCCTGAGTGCTGGGACCAAGACCCATGTGACGCTGCTTCCCGCATCACATGAGTTGTCTTGCTGTAACTTCAAGAGCCATATTGAAGAAAGTACTAAGATAATATTTAATATACATATGTCCATGTATCAAGTTCATGAGATACAAAAAAAATCCTGTTTCATTCTTCACGCCAATACAAGTTGCTCCAAAGGCTATTCACGCCCCATGTTGATTGGACTGAAGTTCCATCTCGCCCGAGACAAGAGGTTGCCATTAACTTTCATGGTGACTTTTGTAGACTGTGCTGAAAATTGTGTAATGAAGTAGTGTGCAGTTTCACATCACTTGGGCATCATGTTCTTGCATTCAAAGTTGAAGGAGACCTTTAAATTAGAAACCCCCAACACATGACACAGTTCAACTGGAAATGAAAGGAAGCTCAATTGACTCAGTGCCAAATCAATCTATCCAAGACCAACTTGTCGCTTCTCTGTTTTTTCGGAGCACGTAATCAAGGTATTCCCGAGCCAGCCGTTTTCAAGTGAAATGCCAGCCAACCCACACAATATCAATGGACGGTTCCTGTGCTAGTGAAATGTCCAGAAGTGCTGGGAATTGCAATGACAAAAACCAGCTCAGTGGTTGTCCATACATTTCCAACCAGCAGAGAGATTGTTCGTTCAATTGTGTAGATTTGGGCTCTGGCGAGACGTCTTGACAGATATCACTATGATATCACGAACAAAGACAGGATGTATGCTCATCATTTTCACGCAACGTATGTCACATGTGGAGGCTGGATGTGCGTTGTGCATATTCATAGATACATCGATCATTATGCATCTCTACATCCACTTGCATCGGCGGTGTCTTCTAATGCTGCTTCTATTGTCTCAAGCAATGCTATGTCTTTAGGATGTCGAGAATGCCTTTCTGAACGCGTATTTTGTCTGCGCATCTCCAATCACCTTGAGCTAAAGAAGCCTAATGCCTGAGGACCCTAAAACCCCTTGATCATCGCCTCACCATGGGAAGTTCAACATTCAACAAACAAAACGGCCGCCATAAAGTAATAACTAGTAATCAGATATAATAGGAGAAGTAAGCAAAAACCATCAAAAGCCCATCACATCTCCCAGCCGAGGCCCCCGGCCTTCGTTGTCTTTCACAGTGACGGAGGCTTTCGCCTCGAGGAGCAGCTTCACCGCCTCCACTTGGCCAGCGTACGCCGCATAGTGCAGCGGGGCATTGCCTCGGGCGAGCGACTGCTCCCAGAAATGTCCTTCTGATGCAAAGCAAAGCGAAGACACCGAAGATTGTGAAAAGTTTATCAACGCCGAAAATATCCGAGAAGCTGCACATCTAAGGCTCCATCAGGAGCCCTAAATACCCCCAAGTTCAATTCTTTTCATTATTGAAATTATTGTTGTTGCAATCGTGTGACATCTTGTGTTCAAATTCTGTCCGTGTCATGTGGTTGTTTATCTATATACATCATTTCAACTGGAAACTGCTGAAGCCTCAAAACCTACCAAACCCACCAAAACCGCCCAAAGTTTTACATTTCATTCACATCTTGAGTTCGAATATTTTTGGCACCTTGAAATCTCCCCCAAGCACCGTGCATCCATCTCTTCAGGGCCGAGAGGCCTTTGTTGCTCCTGGCGTCGACCTCGGCCCCCGCCGCCAGCAGCACCCGGCAGATCTCCGCGCGGCCGTAGATCGCCGCGACGTGCAGCGCGGTGTCGCCGACGACGTCCCTCGCGGCCACGGCGCCGGGCACCGTCCGCAGGATGTGGCGGATCCCCCCGAGGTGACCGCGGCTGGCCGCCAGGAGGATGTTGTTGTCGCCTCGGAGCACCACGGGCCGCCCCGGGAGGGCACCGGAAGGGCCGCAGAGGCCACAACGGAGACCCAAAAAATCATGGAACACGTCGAATGTTTTGTATCTTTTTTGAGTCAACAACGATGTGTATTGATGTGTATTGATGTGCATTGATGTGTATTGATGTGTATTGATGTGCATTGATGTGTATTGATGTGTATTGATGTGTATTGATGTGTATTGATGTGCATTGATGTGTATTGATGTGTATTGATGTGCATTGATGTGTATTGATGTGATTGATGTGCATTGATGTGCATTGATGTGCATTGATGTGTATTGATGTGTGATTGATGTGTATTGATGTGCATTGATGTGCATTGATGTGTGATTGATGTGTATTGATGTGTATTGATGTGTATTGATGTGTATTGATGTGTATTGATGTGTATTGATGTGTATTGATGTGCATTGATGTGCATTGATGTGTATTGATGTGCATTGATGTGTATTGATGTGTATTGATGTGTATTGATGTGCATTGATGTGCATTGATGTGTATTGATGTGTATTGATGTGTATTGATGTGTATTGATGTGTATTGATGTGTGATTGATGTGTATTGATGTGTATTGATGTGTATTGATGTGTATTGATGTGCATTGATGTGTATTGATGTGCTTGATGTGTATTGATGTGTATTGATGTGTATTGATGTGTATTGATGTGTATTGATGTGTATTGATGTGTATTGATGTGTATTGATGTGATTGATGTGTATTGATGTGTATTGATGTGCATTGATGTGTATTGATGTGTATTGATGTGTATTGATGTGTATTGTGTATTGATGTGTATTGATGTGTATTGATGTGCATTGATGTGTATTGATGTGCATTGATGTGTATTGATGTGTATTGATGTGTATTTGATGTGTATTGATGTGTATTGATGTGTATTGATGTGTATTGTGTATTGATGTGTATTGATGTGTATTGATGTGTATTGATGTGTATTGAGGTGTATTGATGTGTATTGATGTGTATTGATGTGTATTGATGTGTATTGATGTGTATTGATGTGTATTGATGTGTATTGATGTGATTGATGTGTATTGATGTGTATTGATGTGTATTGATGTGTATTGATGTGTATTGATGTGTATTGATGTGTACTGATGTGTATTGATGTGTTGATGTGTATTGATGTGTATTGATGTGTATTGATGTGTATTGATGTGTATTGATGTGTATTGATGTGTATTGATGTGTATTGATGTGTATTGATGTGTATTGATGTGTATTGATGTGTATTGTTGTGTATTGATGTGTCTTATGTGTATTGATGTGCATTGATGTGTATTGTTGTGTATTGATGTGTATTGTTGTGTATTGATGTGTATTGATGTGTATTGATGATGTGTATTGATGTGTATTGATGTGTATTGATGTGTATTGATGTGTATTGATGTGTATTGATGTGTATTGATGTGTATTGATGTGTATTGATGTGTATTGATGTGTATTGATGTGTATTGATGTGTATTGATGTGTATTGATGTGCATTGATGTGTATTGATGTGCATTGATGTGTATTGATGTGTATTGATGTGTATTGATGTGTATTGATGTGCATTGATGTGCATTGATGTGTATTGATGTGTATTGATGTGTATTGATGTGCATTGATGTGCATTGATGTGTATTGATGTGTATTGATGTGTATTGATGTGTATTGATGTGCATTGATGTGTATTGATGTGTATTGATGTGTATTGATGTGTATTGATGTGTATTGATGTGTATCGAAGTGTATTGATGTGTATCGAAGTGTATTGATGTGTATCGAAGTGTACTGATGTGTATCGAAGTGTACTGATGTGTATTGCTGTGTACTGAAGTGTATTGCTGTGTACTGAAGTGTATTGAAGTGTACTGAAGTGTATTGAAGTGTATTGAAGTGTATTGAAGTGTATTGAAGTGTATTGATGTGTATTGATGTGTATTGATGTGTATTGATGTGTATTGATGTGTATTGATGTGTATTGATGTGTATTGATGTGTATTGAGGTGTATTGATGTGTATTGAGGTGTATTGATGTGTATTGAGGTGTATTGATGTGTATTGAGGTGTATTGAGGTGTATTGATGTGTATTGATGTGTATTGAGGTGTATTGAAGTGTATTGAGGTGTATTGATGTGTATTGAAGTGTATTGATGTGTATTGATGTGTATTGATGTGTATTGATGTGTATTGATGTGTATTGATGTGTACTGATGTGTATTGATGTGTACTGATGTGTATTGATGTGTATTGATGTGTATTGATGTGTATTGATGTGTATTGATGTGTATTGATGTGTATTGATGTGTATTGATGTGTATTGATGTGTATTGATGTGTATTGATGTGTATTGATGTGTATTGATGTGTATTGATGTCTATTGATGTGTATTGATGTCTATTGATGTCTATTGATGTCTATTGATGTCTATTGATGTCTATTGATGTGTATTGATGTGTATTGATGTGTATTGATGTGTATTGATGTGTATTGATGTGTATTGATGTGTATTGATGTCTATTGATGTGTATTGATGTCTATTGATGTCTATTGATGTCTATTGATGTCTATTGATGTGTATTGATGTGTATTGATGTGTATTGATGTGTATTGATGTGTGTTGATGTGTGTTGATGTGTGTTGATGTGTGTTGATGTGTATTGATGTGTGTTGATGTGTGTTGATGTGTGTTGATGTGTATTGATGTGTATTGATGTGTATTGATGTGTATTGATGTGTATTGATGTGTATTGATGTGTATTGATGTGTATTGATGTGTATTGATGCGTATTGATGTGTATTGATGCGTATTGATGCGTATTGATGTGTATTGATGCGTATTGATGTGTATTGAAGTGTATTGATGTGTATTGAAGTGTATTGAAGTGTATTGCTGTGTATTGATGTGTATTGATGTGTATTGATGTGTATTGATGTGTATTGATGTGTATTGATGTGTATTGATGTGTATTGATGTGTATTGATGTGTATTGATGTGTATTGATGTGTATTGATGTGTATTGATGTGTATTGATGTGTATTGAGGTGTATTGCTGTGTATTGATGTGTATTGATGTGTATTGATGTGTATTGATGTGTATTGATGTGTTCGATGTGTATTGATGTGTATTGCTGTGTATTGATGTGTATTGATGTGTATTGATGTGTATTGAGGTGTATTGCTGTGTATTGATGTGTATTGATGTGTATTGATGTGTATTGATGTGTATTGCTGTGTATTGATGTGTATTGATGTGTATTGATGTGTATTGATGTGTATTGATGTGGATTGATGTGTATTGATGTGTATTGATGTGTATTGATGTGTATTGATGTGTAGTGATGTGTAGTGATGTGTAGTGATGTGTAGTGATGTGTAGTGATGTGTAGTGATGTGTAGTGATGTGTAGTGATGTGTAGTGATGTGTAGTGATGTGTAGTGATGTGTAGTGATGTGTAGTGATGTGTAGTGATGTGTAGAGATGTGTATTGATGTGTAGTGATGTGTAGTGATGTGTATTGATGTGTAGTGATGTGTATTGATGTGTATTGATGTGTATTGATGTGTATTGATGTGTATTGATGTGTATTGATGTGTATTGATGTGTATTGATGTGTATTGATGTGTATTGATGTGTCTTGATGTGTATTGATGTGTCTTGATGTGTCTTGATGTGTCTTGATGTGTCTTGATGTGTCTTGATGTGTATTGATGTGTATTGATGTGTATTGATGTGTATTGATGTGTATTGATGTGTATTGATGTGTATTGATGTGTATTGATGTGTATTGATGTGTCTTGTTGTGTATTGATGTGTATTGATGTGTTTTGATGTGTATTGATGTGTATTGATGTGTATTGATGTGTATTGATGTGTATTGTTGTGTATTGATGTGTATTGATGTGTATTGATGTGTATTGATGTGTATTGATGTGTATTGATGTGTATTGATGTGTATTGATGTGTATTGATGTGTATTGATGTGTATTGATGTGTATTGAGGTGTATTGAGGTGTATTGATGTGTATTGATGTGTATTGATGTGTATTGATGTGTATTGATGTGTATTGATGTGTATTGATGTGTATTGATGTGTATTGATGTGTATTGATGTGTACTGATGTGTATTGATGTGTACTGATGTGTATTGATGTGTATTGATGTGTATTGATGTGTATTGATGTGTATTGATGTGTATTGATGTGTATTGATGTGTATTGATGTGTATTGATGTGTATTGATGTGTATTGATGTGTATTGATGTGTATTGATGTGTATTGATGTGTGTTGATGTGTATTGATGCGTACTGTTGTGTATTGATGTGTATTGATGTGTATTGATGTGTATTGTATGGCTTGGATATGCTTGGATATGCTTGGATTGTATATAACAAAGACTATCGAAAATAGAAACATCATGAAACATCTGGTTTTGAGGTCACTTTTCCAGTTGTTCAACTTTAACATGTTATCATCTCAAACCATCTCAAACGTATGATCCAAGGCCCTTGGCATCTTAGCGTCACATGTGGAGCCAGGCCCTGGATCCAATTTTCCATTTCCTCTTGCTCATAGGGCACTGGGTCACTTGGCGTCTCAAACTAGTCTTGTCAGGTTGTACTCCATCTATGACATCTACGTATGCAAGCTGCGAGTGTTACCATCTTCTTCGTGTCAAAGTGATGACTGTATATAGTACAGATATGTACAGATAATGTGTGAATGTGGATTGTATCAGTTGTATGGTAATTGGTGTGTGGTGGCATCATGGCATTTGCAAGGGATCAAATGCCTCTGCCAAAACTAGATCCAATTATATTCACAGCCCCTCTGATGTGGAATTGTGGATCATACAACTAACGCCTCCAAATACAGAAGATGTCTCAGTGAGGTTGCGCGGCTTCCATTGTTTCCATGTTCGATCTGCTCTATCCTGTCATCATCTCCACGTGATAATCTCAAATTGAAAATCTAAACTGGTTAGAGGCATGGCATTGTGAGACTCAGAAACGGGTCACGGAACTGTTGCAAAAAAGTGTCCGAAGATCTCAACTAAGTCTATATTCACATCTGAATACATCTCAACCAACTTGCACTCAATCCGTATTTGCCTGCTGTTCAACCCTATGATTTTATAAAATTTTATAAATCATATCTCGCATCTCAAAGCGATGATCTGCAAGATCTCAACCTCTAAGACCCCAAGATATCCCAAGATCCTGTAAGATCCTGAAGAATCTCTCCAAGACCCTGACATTCTGCAGCTTCCTCTGCATCGGCAGCTTCTTGGGCTTCTCGGGCTTCTCGGACTTCTTCAGCCTGCCGCTTGGATGGGCAACATCGCAAGAAACTCACACGGAGGGTCTTGGGCACAGCAGCAAACAGCATGTTCTACACGAAAAACAAGTGCCCCCATATCAAACCTCTCAAAAATTCAAAGACAGTGTTGAGACACCGATACTTCCGCACCTCCAAGGATGCTACCTCTTCCTCAGCTTTTCCCGTGGGTGATCGAGGGTCAAACTGCAGCTGTGAGATCGGCTCCTTGATGTCAATGACATCGGCGTCCCACACAGATGAATCCTTGATCTCCACGACCAACTTGTCACCGGGCTTGTCACCCGCCTCAGGTGCAGTTGTGGGGTCTTGACCTTCTTCCAACATTGGCTTTGAAGGTGGCACAGCATCTGGCTTCAGAGGATCTCTTTGGATCGCCCTGGCATCTTCTCTTCGCGATGAATCTTCCTGCGAGGCCTGAATTGCCAACTTCGATGGCAGCTGCACTTTCGTCAAGGCTTCAGCAGCAGCAGTGGTGGTCTCGGCCATAGCTGTGGATTCATTGAAGGTATCACTTTTGAATTTTGTGACCCCCAAGAATTCCAGCCAACCTCCTCGGAGGAGCTGGTTCACAATCACTGCCTGAAGCTGCGCCCGAGTGATTGCTTGATATATGTTTGAGCGCCCCACCTGGTTTGCACTTTGGTCACCAACTTTTTGATCCAGACCAATGCACACCACCATGAGTGACTCCAGTCCCTTTGCATTCTCCACCGTGTCCAGCACTATCAGCTCTGCATTGTCTGCATGTGTGGCCTGCTTCACTTTGACGTTTGGCAGCATGCGTAGCGACTCAGTAAACGATATCAGCTTGAAGTTTCGCCCTGCAAGGCGTGCCGTCTTGAAGTGTCTTTGCAAGGCATCTTGGAACTTCTCCAGAAAGTCAGGGTTGGGCACCAAAAGGGCCAAGCGATTGTGGAAGCTGAGGCCAGCATATATGCGCATCACATGAAACAATGCAGACACAGTATGTTTGGCATAATCTTCAAAGACATGTGCATCAGACTCGAAGAGGAAAGCCTTCAGGGGAGGCCCAGCTGGGCATAAGGAAGCAATCTGCTCTTTTTCTGCCACACTTGCTTGAAATGCAGCTGCACCAGCCACTATCCTTTTCGTACTGCGCACCACTTGTGTCAGGCTGATCTCCTTCGCTGGTGGAAAATGCACTGCACCAGATGAGTTTTGGGATACGCTCGACAAGAGCAACACTTGTCGTGGTGCCTCAATCTTCTCTTCCAGAAAAGTGTGGTTCTCATCTATACAGAAAAAATTGTGTGCCTCATCGATGATTGTTAAGAGAAATCGCTTTTTGCTGTCGGGCAACGGAATCCAGTCAAAACGGTCGCCTTTGATACGCAAGCTCAGAAAAGCTTGGCTTTGGGGTTCCATCAACACAATGCGCCTCAACAACTTGTGAAGCTGCCCGCGGTTTGAAGAGCTTTGAGCAAGCCACCGCACGAAGTACAGGCCAAGGGCAATGGAAGGTGCCAGGAAAAAGACTTGTCCATCGGGATTGTTTCTGAGCTTATCTAATGCACACTGTGCAGCTACAAATGTCTTCCCAGCTCCTGCAGGAGCCGACATTATTATTATGGGTTGAACGACTGGATGCCTCAAATACCCGAAGGTACCGGACACCGCAGCCAACGGGACATGATCAATTCATGTTTTCACGCACAGTGGCCCTGACCCGGGCCATGTGGTGAAGAACCGCTCTATCATAGACATCACACCCACGTGTGGGCCAAGCAAGATGATTTTGCAATTCATCTTCAGGGACCTCAGGGCGGCCGGAAGACAACTGTTCGGCGGAGCAATGCCAGGAGAGATGTTCCCAGACAGGTGGGATTTGCTCACCGCAAAAGGGACATTGTTCCCTCACTTCGTGTCCACGCATCTTATCATAACATGCCGTGGAATGCGCAGAACCAAGCATTCTGCAGGAGCCGACAAGTGGACATCCCCGTGCTTCATGAGATATTTGATATCTCTCACTTTCTCCTTTTGATGGTCTGTCAAGTCTGAGAGGTTTAGCAGTTCTCGCTCAAAAACCTTGCAAAAGTGCGTCTTATCCACGTGCACTTGCCACTTCTTCAAAGATTCATTTATGCGCGATTCCAAGTCACTATTCAAAACTACATTCCGTACATGCTGGAGAGACGCAATGTTGTCAATCCCAAGTCTGAGAGCGAGCGAAGGTGTGCCGTCTGGGAATACAAAATCCTGATTTGTCACGATCCCAAGATCTGTTGATAATGAGTCTTTCACCAGGTCCACGAAGTTTTCGCGCCCAACTTCTGCAAGCATCGCCTGAATCAAATCTGCATGCCTAACCCGATCTGTAACAAAAATGTGCCACTTCGTTTGGGACTCTACGGTCCATTTTGCCTCCTCGGGCTTCTCTGGTATCCTCAAGGGAACATCGAGTAAAGTACCTCTGCACCACTGCTTGCCGTCCCACGCATCAACTTTAGCGCCAATTTCGAACTCTTTCTTCAGGAAATGGCTGACATCGACATGGTCATATTTCCAAGCCTCTCCTTGCTGCTGCCTCATCCGCTCCAAGTATGCGATTTCGCACTTTTGGCTCCCACCGCAGCCAACTCCATCCCAAAGATTTACATCATCTCTGTTCAAATCCTCAAAAGAAACTATACCTTTGCCAGTCTGTGCAGGGAAGAAGACTACCTTGAGACGTTGCTTCAACCTCACGGCTTCGGCCACCTGCTTCTTCCACGTGTGGGACCATTCGCATCCCCAGGAGGCAACTCTGCCACTGTCCTCCCAAGCTTGTCGTGCTTTCTCTTCAGCTTCTTGTTTGTCTTTGTCGCTGGCATCTGATCGAACCACAACAGTCTTCGTGGCTTTCGCCTTCTCTACCTCAATCTTCTCCTCTGCTTCGCTACAAGATGCTGGCAGCTCTTTCAAGTAACCGAAAATCCTGAAGTCCCGCTGCCCATAAATTGTGGGGCAATAGCACTGGCCACCAAATTCTTCTTTATAGTGCTTTCCAAGGCCGTCAGCTGGAGTGCAGAGGAACACGCACGCCACGGATTGTCCGTGACGTTCCTTGATCAATGCATCCCAACCGGCTGCATATTTTCCAGGAAAGGACACGTAGCAGTCTAAGCCTTCTTCCCGCTTGATGTGGCCGTGGTAGGGGATGTCGGCCGTTTTCTCCAGGATGGCAGGCTTGTCTCGCAATGTGAAGTACAGATGAGGTTCTTGAACGTCAACCTATCCAACAGGGTGAAAGTTTCGCTGCTCATACAGCTGTGGTTCAGGTGTAACTTGCTTGTGACTGTTGTGCACTGAGAAGAATTCCAAGATTTCAGGTACTGGAAAATGAGAATTCTCTAACAGCAGGATGTCCCTGATCGAAATCTACTTTCGATAATTCGGACTCGATCTCTCGAAATCTTCTGTCTATAATTTTCTGTTGTTCTTCTGTTTCGCCTGTTTCGCATAATGTGCTGCAAAAGTTTTACGCATCTGCTCAAGCGAAGTCTATTTGATGGCACCTGTGGCAAAGGATTTTCTGGTTCTTGAACATTTTGTGCTGCAGCAGCATCTGCTTGAGGAAACGAGCGGACCTGTAAACATTGATGAGTCCTTCTTCGTGCTTGGGGTCTGAAGTATGTCTATAAAGTATTCTAAAGTATTACATTATATTAGCTACGACTGAGAACGTTCCAGTGTCCAGATCGCATCATAAGACAGACTGACATAACAGAGGACACATGGCAAATATCATACTGTGGAGTCATTGGTGCAACCAGTGTACCTCGGGTTCGGAACAAGTCTTAGAATGATTTAGAATGTCTTCTGTATGGCACCTCTTCTTGGAGTTGCGCAACCTCTTCTCGGAGCCTCTGCGACTCATTAGCTTCGGCCTTCCAGACTCAATCCAGCACGACAGAAGATACAGAAGATGTGGGATCCCGGATGCCTAGTTGGATGTGTGACTGATGTGCAGGATCTTTGAGTATGGCATAGTATGGCATGTATTTTCTACAATTCAGTTCTGTGACATCTGCAGTCAACAATGTCTACAATCTTGTGACTTGGAAAGGCAGCAGAAAGAATCTAGAATGGACATGCATGGACAATATTGACCACGCCTCTCGCAATCGACTTTCTAGTTCTTCAATGCGCCGAGCTGCAGCAGCTTCAGCTTGACGCAATGAGCGAACCTACAACACCCACGCTACCAACGAGTCCTTCTTTGTCCAGGAAAACATGGCAAAACAATCTGACCAACAAATCCAACAAAGCACACGTTGCAGAAACAAGTCTCGCGATCTCTGACGATCTCTGACGATCTCTGACGGTCTCTGGCGATCTCTGACGATCTCTGACGATCTCATGGGATTCATTCGAACGTATGGTGCCTCTTCGTTCAGTTGCGCCACCTCTTGGAGTTTCTCCGAGTCGAGGGATCCGGCCTTCCAGACTCGAGCACAGCTGGATGCGGATCTTTGCTATCAATGCTGCGACATGCTGCGACCAACCCTCCCATCTTCAACCACCGCTGTCAATGTTTTCAAACTTGAAATGACACAGAAATGGGTTTCCCCACTTGTTACTTGGTGAGACTCTGCTATGGGTTTCAAACAACTCGCGCTACAGTATTTGGAATCAGGCAGTGTTAAGGTTTGAAGTGCAAGAAAAATCTTGCTGTTTCATTGCAGTATCAGCTGCATCGAAACCTGCTTCGCACAGGTAGCCAAAGAAATGGCCTGCAGCTCCTCCACTCTTCTCCCTGCGACCTTGCCATTGTACCAGATGCATCCAGATGCAGCTTCTGTCAGCAACCCAAAACTTCTGATGCAAGTTGCACCTTGAATCCAGAGCAAACTGGGTTCCACAAGAAGTTGCATGCTAGAAGAAAAGAATGACACGTCCTGCTACATCAAACTCAGCAAGCCTGCAGTTCAAGCTTGCAGAACTGACTTTGTTTTTGTGTGGCAGCATTTCTTCAAATATGTACTGGAAACATCTGGGAAAGGTTGATATCAAGCCTTAAATTGGACTGTTCCGACACAGAAGGCTACATGGTGAGCTCCTTGGTCAACAGGAATTAACCATATTTAATCGCTTAGCCAACTTAGCCAACTTAGCCAACTTGGCCAACTTGGCCAACTACACCATCACAGGATAAATTGGATAAATGCTTGCGGAATCTTGCCTGTGCAAGGGCGGTCTCCACTGCGGCCTGGAAAAATCAGCATGGTGAGGGGCATGGTGAAGCGGTTGACACAACTGAAATCTACTTTCGATAATTTGGACTCGATCCTCTCGAAATCTTCTGTCTATAATGTTCTGTTGTTCTTCTGTTTCGCCTGTTTCGCATAACATGCTGCAAAAGTTTTACGCATCTGCTCAAGCGAAGTCTATTTGATGGCACCTGTGGCAAAGGATTTTCTGGTTCTTGAACGTTTTGTGCTGCAGCAGCATCTGCTTGAGGAAACGAGCGGACCTGTAAACATTGATGAGTCCTTCTTCGTGCTTGGGGTCTGAAGTATGTCTAAGTCTAAAGTATTCTAAAGTATTACATTATATTAGCTACGTTTGAGAACGTTCTAGTGTCCAGATCGCATCATAAGACAGACTGACATAACAGAGGACACATGGCAAATATCATACTGTGGAGTCATTGGTGCAACCAGTGTACCTCGGGTTCGGAACAAGTCTTAGAATGATTTAGAATGTCTTCTGTATGGCACCTCTTCTTGGAGTTGCGCAACCTCTTCTCGGAGCCTCTGCGACTCATTAGCTTCGGCCTTCCAGACTCAATCCAGCACGACAGAAGATACAGAAGATGTGGGATCCCGGATGCCTAGTTGGATGTGTGACTGATGTGCAGGATCTTTGAGTATGGCATAGTATGGCATGTATTTTCTACAATTCAGTTCTGTGACATCTGTCTGCAGTTAACAATGTCTACAATCTTGTGACTTGGAAAGGCACCAGAAAGAATAATCTAGCATGGACATGCATGGACAATATTGACCACGCCTCTCGCAATCTTTCTAGTTCTTCAATGCGCCGAGCTGCAGCAGCTTCAGCTTGACGCAATGAGCGAACCTACAACACCCACGCTACCAACGAGTCCTTCTTTGTCCAGGAAAACATGGCAAAACAATCTGACCAACAAATCCAACAAAGCACACGTTGCAGAAACAAGTCTCGCGATCTCTGACGATCTCTGACGATCTCTGACGGTCTCTGGCGATCTCTGACGATCTCTGACGATCTCATGGGATTCATTCGAGCGTATGGTGCCTCTTCGTTCAGTTGCGCCACCTCTTGGAGTTTCTCCGAGTCGAGGGATCCGGCCTTCCAGACTCGAGCACAGCTGGATGCGGATCTTTGCAAATGTCAATGCTGCGACATGCTGCGACCAACCCTCCCATCTTCAACCACCGCTGTCAATGTTTTCAAACATGAAATGACACAGAAATGGGTTCAAACAACTCGCGCTACAGTATTTGGAATCAGGCAGTGTTAAGGTTTGAAGTGCAAGAAAAAACTTGCTGGTTCATTGCGGTTTAGCTGCGTTGAAACCTGCTTCGCACACTGCACACGTAGCCAAAAAAAATTGCCTGCAGCTCCTCCACTCTTCTCCCTGCGACCTTGCCATTGTACAAAATGCAGCTTCTGCCAGCAACCCAAGACTTCTGATGCAAGTTGCACCTTGAATCCAGAGCAAACTGGGTTCCACAAGAAGTTGCATGCTAGAAGAAAAGAATGACACGTCCTGCTACAGCAAGCCCGCAGTTCAAGTTTGCAGAACTGACTTTGTTTTTGTGTGGCAGCATTTCTTCAAATGTGTACTGGAAACATCTGGGAAAGGTTGATATCAAGCCTTAAATTGGACTGTTCCGACACAGAAGGCCACATGGTGAGCTCCTTGATCAACAGGATTTTACCATATTTAATCGCTTAGCCAACTTAGCCAACTTGGCCAACTACATCATCACAGGATAAATTGGATAAATGCTTGCGGAATCTTGCCTGTGCAAGGGCGGTCTCCACTGCGGCCTGGAAAAATCATGGAGCATGGTGAAGGGCATGGTGAAGCGGTTGGCACAACTGAAATTGATGGATTTGATGCCCCATTTCCGACTCAGAAATGCATCTTTCTCACCCGACAAAAAAGATGCATTGTGCACATTCAATAATTTAGCAACATGCATCAACAGGATTTGTATGGATTTGTCAAACATTCACAACTCAGGGAAAGAAAAACGGATCCCAAGAGCCAAATTATCATTTCTCGGAGTTTTGTGCTGACGTTTGTGGATATAGGATTCCTAAAACAGATTGGGAACAATGAGGTACAAATCATCAACATCCTGGAAGTTAAATCATATCTGTTTACGGGGGTCCTGTTAAGTTTGTTTGTCATCTCACCTCTCTGCATTGCACTCGCAGAATGGGCGCCTCTGGGAGTTGCGCTTGTGCCTCGTCCAGGAGTCTCTCTGCCTCTTGAGCTCCGGCCTTCCAGACTGGACCAAGCACAACTCAAAACATGGGAGTTTTGGAGATGCCGCTGCTGTGACGGTCAAATCATATCAAATGCACTCCAAATGAAATCGAAATTGCAATACGTGTCCATGTTTGCAGACAAACTCGTATCATTGGAA